GATAGGCACGTGCCGCCAGCGGTCTAAAACCCTAACCCTGTTTAAGACACTAGAAAGTGAAAACAAGACAAATCATTGTGGAAAATTAAGGAATAGCTATCTACGCCGCAACAATCAAAACTGCAATTATACTGACATCCATCAAAGACAATAAGACGTTTGATAACACGTTAATCCTGGTATAGTGAAATGGTATTTCTACTATTTCTACGGTATTTCTTATGATCATGAAAATATTACCCTGTCCAAGACACACAAAAAATAATAATATCGGTCTTTTACCGAAATTGCAGAGCCTGTTTAAGACAATTTCGGGTGAAATGTATACCCTGTTTAAGACAGCAAGGCCAAAAACCATACCCTGGCCAGCGGCACGTCCCCGTATTGCAAATATATGGGAGTACACCCCCCCCCCCGGGTTTTAATTCCTTGTTTCATCTATATGTCTGCTTTCGCATGAAACTCCTACTTTTCTCCTTTTCTTCCTTCCCCTAATCATTATAGTCAGTTCCAATGGACTTCTGAACTTTTTACGTCACTACTTGATTTCCAATGCATTGTGGGATAAGTTTCTAGAGAAAACAAAAGAAATCCGCCATGTTCTGTCCCAAACATATCCCACAATGCATTGCGTATACGGTACATGACGTAAAAGCTTCAGATGTTTGTTGTTCCTAGATATCAATGAATGTACAATTGTCATGCTAATACAAGCAGTTCTAACACATGCAGTTGACTTTTATACTTACACTTGTGCCCCTAGTTACCATGCCCAGGTACCTCTTTTTACTATCTTTTCTATTGTTTCTTTGACAGAAAATTAAGGTTTTGATCTTGAGATGAGTTTCTCATTCTTTCATAGATTTGGATGAGTGCAACACAGGACATCACATGTGCCATCCTAATGCCGCTTGCACTAACAMCGTGGGCTCATACACTTGTGCTTGTCAGACTGGTTACCAAGGAAATGGCCGCTCGTCATGTACAGGTAACTTCGATATAAAGTTATTTTTGTTTTTTGTTTTTGTTGTTTTTGTTGTTTTATTATTATTGTGGTTTGTCTCGAGAAATTTTGAATTACTCCACAGATATCGATGAGTGCTTAACACAGAAGTGCGCAGCTGATGAACGATGTTACAATTACTTACAAGCATCGGGATCACGTGCCTGTTTAAATACTGTGAAATGCTCCAGTGGCTACCGATGGAGTTCAAACTCATGTACAGGTCAGTCAGTATAACATACTCATGGACCGTGGAGCAGGGGGGCGGGCTGGGGCCCCAATAATTTTTCCGACATTTTGAATTTTCTTAAATAAAGAAGCGAACAGCCTCCTTGTGAAATTTTACCATATATATTCTATAAAAGTTGTGTTAAAACTCAGCGTGAATTAGAGCGTGAATTAGAATTGAAGCTTTTTTGCGAAGTCTTTGGGATTCACTGATAATATCGCTGACCGTGTGTGCGGTCAAAAAATTGACAACGCCTCAAAACGCTGGAAATGACATTTCCGAGATATAAGCCATTTCAAAAATTTCCGAACCTCCTAATACCTCCTCGCTGCTAGACCCCACCCCCACAAAGAAAATTCACGCTCCTCGGTCCCTGATACTCTACGTTCTTTTTGCTGTCTTTGCAAGTCTTTGCAATTTTTTGCTTTTGTTTTACATTTAATTTCTATTCTCGTTCTCAGATATGGATGAATGTTATTTTGGCCCTTACTCATGCCCTGTTAACACTCACTGTGTAAACAACGCTGGCTCATACACTTGCAAATGCAACACCGGTTACCATGGAGGAAGCAGTTCATGTTCAGGTAGATTTCTTATTCTTTGTCCCTTACTATGGGCCATTGTGCTTTGCGCGACATCAACGATTAACAGTGTTTTTATAAACAGAATTTCAAGGTTTTGTTAAGGTGTAGTGTCTTGATTTTCTTCTTTTGGGCATCAAAAGCAATGTATGCGACACTGGGTAGAAACGAAATGCGCACACTCGGAAGACGTATGGTAACTAAGGGCAACCAAAGATTTTTGTTAGCGAAGTTTTGAATATTAAACAAAATCGCTAAAAGTTAAAAATAGCGAAAGTTAAGGTTTTCCTTATTCACAGTTGCATGCCATATTCTTATACGCAATTATACGCAAGAGTTTTTAAGCATATAAGAAGAAATATATTCGCCTTTTATGTCTCTGAACTCTTCGGTTTAACCACGAATTTGTTTTTTGAGACGCAACGTTCATTGTGCATCCCAAATCTCTTTTTTCTCGTTTATTCATTTTCTAATACTATTGAATTTTCTTTCCCTTACTGCATTAGTCTTTCACGGTTCCCTGCGCCAGGTTCCTTGGAATCGAAGCGCAGAGACGACCTTCAAGATGGCGCAGTAAACCGTGAGACAGTCTATTATAAGAATTTTTAGACACTACTTCATTTATTTTGAAACTCTGTTCTTTGCAGATATTAATGAATGTACGAACGGTGTGCACAAGTGCCCAAATAATGCACGCTGCACAAACACTGTGGGCTCATATACCTGTCAATGTAGGACTGGT